GTGTGTCCCCTCAGTCCTCACCTGCCATCGGCGGCCACATCTCCCCCTCAGTCAGTCCTTGCCTCCCCTCACAGCCACATTGCCCTCAGCAACCCTTGTCCCCTCTCATGGCCATGACGCTCCCCAGTTTTTGGGTCCATGTCCACTTCAGCCCTCACAGCCATGTCCCCCCTCAATCCGCTGTCACCTCCCCTCACAGCCGTGTCCCCCCTCAATCCGCTGTCACCTCCCCTCACAGCCATGTCCCCCCTCGTTGCTCCCACCCCTCACCTCCCCAGCCTCGCCCCCATTTCTCACACGAGCTCCCTTGCTCTTTTCCCAAGGAGGGTGGCAGGAATTGGGGTGTCCCTTTCCGGGGGACTGTCCCTGTCACTGAGCACACACCTCCACTCGCCCGGCGTGACTGAAATTTACGAAATTTAAATTTCAGCTTGGTTGTTTGGGGAGGAAAAAAGGGTTGTGGGGGGAAGAAATTTGCTTGGTGGGAAATGTCTTCGGTTGTGCAAAAGTCTGCATCTCTGAGGGGGCAGATTTGCACAAAAACCGGGAGATGACAGAACTTGGCTGGTCCAGGGGATGGAGGGACAGGATGCAGGAGTGGGAGGCTCTGTCCCTGCACGGGAATTGTCACCCGCTGCTGGGAGCTGACCCCTCTGACCGGGGTAGCCCCTCTGGGGGGCTGCCAGGGCGAGGGGAGGGTTTGGCCCCGTTCCTGCAGCTGGTGGAAGCCTGGCAGCCCCAGACACACGGAGCAGGCTGTGACCCACTTAACCAGGTTGGTGTGGGCTGCCATGGTGGCTGTCGGATCCCTCGCCGTGATGGATAACCAACTTGGAGGGAATTCTGCTCTCGCAAGAGGTGCCAATAAGTAAAAAGCACAGATTTAATTAAGCAGAGTATAAATTTCCTGGTCTGTGCTCTCGCAGAGGTGCAGGCATCCAGCGACGATGCTGCCCCGGATTGAAGAGAGAATCAAGTCAGGGAACAACACACCGAGGGCTTTCATCCTCTCCAACCTGCATCTGAAAAGCAGTTTTTAAAGCTCCCCTCCCGCTAGCTTTGTCAGGCACTAAAACAAAGGCTGCCCCGCTGGTGAAATTCCAATTCCTCTGCCAGGCAGCCGGGCACAGCACACCCAGGAGTGCTGGGTTCCTTTGTGACCCCGGGGGGATCCAGCCATCCTGTCCTGCTGCAGGGTGTTCGGAATGTTCCAGTGCCCAGCCCTCACGTGTGCCTGGCTCTCTGCAGATTCCCACCTCCAAGGTGTGCCAGGGAGCACGACACACCCGGGAATAACCCAGCTTCCACTCTGTGCAAACAAACCAAATTGAAAAATCAAATTTAGGGGGAGCGAGTGGCATTCAGTCCTTCATTTGGAGTTAATTATTTTTTAAATATAGCATTATTTCAAGCTGTATGGATTCAGCCCCATCTGTTTCTAACAGCCATAATCAGTGCTGGGTAGCAGAGTTAGAGTTTTCAAGGATGAGAATCCATAAATATTAGTTTTATGCTGACAGCTAATTACTCTTCAAACAGAGCCCTTATTTCTTAAAAGTGCCTACGCTTCTATTTATTCAGAGAGAAAGAAACAAATATGGTGCTGAGATATGAGGCTGAACACGCAAAACAAGGGAGGGTGGTGCAGCCAGGGGAAGAGATAAGGTGTGTCTCTTTTTGTTCCTCAAAAAGACAAGAGGAAAACAAACCAGGAAGGTTAGAAGACAAATGCTGCATAAAAAGAAACAGATGGAGAAAAAAAGAATTGCAAGGAAGAAGTGATGATACAGCCTTTGGATTAGCAAATATTGCTCGCATGATGTGAGATGCCAGCAGGGCAGGTGGTGGCTGCTCTGAGTTGCTTTTCCCTCCTTCCTCCAGAGCTTTCATTGCTAGAAGGAGTCCCCAGCTGTCCTTGCACTGGCAGTTTTGTTCTTTTCTCTGCCTTCCCCTCTGTAACAGCGAGGATGGGTGTGGATGGCATTTGTGGATCTTTTTCCCCCACCTGCCTGCCAGATGAAAGCCAGGAGTTAAAACTGGTGCATGACCAAAGATGCCCAGAGGTGATGCCCAGCCTAGAGAAAACTTTCTGTATCTAGAAATCTTTCTGTTTTCCCCAGGACCCTCCAGTCTGAGGAATTCCAGCCAGGTGTCCATTCTTTCCCACCACCTCTGAGCTGCCTGATCTTCAGCTGAAGAAGAGACAGTGCCATGGCTTTCCTGGCAGCCCATGTAGCCCTGCTAGACCTTTCCTACTTAAAAAACAGAGTTTAGAGTGGGAAGCCCCACGGCCTCTCCCATTTTATTGCTGTTTGGGAAAGCCTTTGGGGCGTGAGGAGCACTGGGGCTGTTTGCAGAGTGAGGAGCCAGGCTGGGCTGGACCTGCTGGGCTGATGTGTGTGTGCAGGCACCTTCACCTATAAAGACAAGTCCAGGGTCACTTAACAGTTGTTTTCTTGGAAATAAAAAAAAAAGAGAGCAGCTGTATTGCACAAATTTTGCTGCTAAAGGTCGTTGGAGAACAGTCTGGGAGCCACTGCTGTGTGTTCCTGTGGGCAGCCCAGGGCTGGGGCACTCTGACCTTTCCAGGAAAGCTGCAGGAAGCCAAATAAGAAATGTCCCCATGCTGCAGGTTGGGAAATTTTGGAAGGGATTATTCATCTCTTAATATGACCTCTGGAAAAGGTATTAGTTGTGTAATTGATCAGTCAGGCATGGCTTTGGGGATTAGCTGATTTTTTACATGTGCCAAATACAAATCAGTGATGCTCAGGATAAAAAAAGACAACTGGTTGTAGCTGGAGAGTGACTGCAGAAATTCCACGGTGGGATTCCATATTTATTTGCTCTCAACAATTTTCAGATCAAATTGGCTCAGGGAAAAGTCAAAATTATTTCCCCTCTAACTGCTGCCTCTGCAAACTCAGCCTCAGATCTGAGGAAATCAGACCGTGTGGTTCCTGCCTTCTGCATCATAACCAGTAATAAAGATTTTGCTGGTGGAGCTGAGCTGACAGTTTTGCTGATGATGGATAGAGCCAAACAGGCACTCCTGGATCTCAGGTGGGGGAGCACTGGGGAGACAGGGAAGAGCATTTCTTTAAAGTATTTTTATACCAACCACTGCTTAAAGACAACCACTGGAACCAGCCAGAGCAGAAAGTTCATCATTAAATACTTCCAGCTCAGTCACGGGATGTGAGGAAAATGTGAACAGAGGGAGAGATTTATTAATTTTTCTTCTCTTTTTTTGGGTGCAAAAGCACGTTTCCATGCCTGAGGTGTGGGAATGCCTGGTGCCTGAACCTGGCAGTGCCTTTTGTCCCTTTCAAATGAGGGAATGTGTCAAATCCAGGCAGGGATTGTCCCCTTGGGTCTGACACCTGCATTCATTTCCTCTGGATTAATGATACCAAAGCCTGTTTGTTTCACAGTGCAGTTCTCTTCATCCTGGCTTTTCCTCCCATCTCCACCTCCACCTGTCTGTCCCCTGTCCTCTTCTAACACAGCTCTAAAGATGTATTTGCTCTCAAAAATCAGCCCCTGGGGGGATGGAGGCACCAACTCACGCAGTTATCCTGCATCACTCTGCACATCGGCAGGTGGATCCGTCTTTGGAACACAAATATCTTGACAGTTTATCACTAAAAGATAATTAGGAAGAGACAGGAATGTTATCAGGAGCTCAGCCTCTGCTGAAAGCCCCTTGCTGAAGGTTGCTGAGTTCCCTTTGTGTGGTTTTTGACTGTTGTGACTGCAGTGAAAAAACTGCCCATTTTTGGGGCAGGGCTGGGGAAATGCTGCAGGTTCTCCTGATTATATATATATTTTTTTTTTTTTTTTTTGCCACAGCTCTGACCCCTGCCAGGAGAAGTCTCAGCTCTGGTGCTGGTTGCCTGTGGTACAGCTGTGTGGGTTTGGGTGTTCTGGAGCTCTCGGGTGCCCTGGGGGTGAGCTGTGATCACCACTTTGCCACAAGCAAGGCTCAGAGCAGCTCTCAGGCTGAGCCGGGCTGTGAATCCCATCATTGTTCATTTCTGACCATCTCCTTTCCACATCCAGCAGGGAAAAATTTGTCAGCCCTCTCCCTTTGCCTGCACTGTGCAACTTTCTGTCCGTACATTTGGAGCAGATGCCTTCCAGTGCTGTGATGTGGGGCCGAGCAGCACTCCGCGCTGTAATCCATCCGCGGTGCTGTACGTGAGGAGCACCACGCACGGTTCAGCTGGAGATGCTCCTCCCGAGCACATCTCCTCACTGAGGCACGTGGGGAGGGTCTGATCCTGTGTGCTGGGCAGATGGAAGCCCAGGGACTTCCAACAGACTTGCTCTGGCTGCTGGGGGTAAGGAAACCAGTTCTCTGTAAAATATTTACTACGGTGAAGCGGAATTGTGATCTCAAACCAGTCAGATGTGCTGTGATTGTAATTCTTTCTCTGGGGTAGAAATACCTCTGCAAGAGAGAATTTCTCTGCAGTTTGAAGCACGGGCTGGCTCCAGCCTTGCTGGAATTTTCCTTTGCTCCACACTCCTCATGCATTTATTTACTGAACCTGTGAAAGGGGTACTGTAGTGTAAATCCCACACATGGTACATGCAGTGAGTTTTTTGCTTCAGCAGCCTCCGGTGGATTCATGCAAACAGAATTTAGACCTGACCTCCAGCCTGTTTTAGCTGTGGGGGATACAGTTAATTGACTAAAAATGTATTTGTTCTGTTGGTGGAGTGCAGAGGCACAGGAATGTGAGCGTGCTGTGATCAGTGCTGCAGAGCTGTGTGCCTCAGCTCGCTCTGACCCAGCTCTCCCGAGCTGAGGGCACTCTGGAATTTGGGAGTGCTCTGCAATTTGCAGTCATTTGCTCTTCTCTCCCCAAGTCTAGCAGTGAAAGCACTTGTTCCACAACAACTAAATTTGATGCTAGACTGGTTTCTGAACTGCCACTTAGAGCCAGCACACGGCTCCAGCTCTGCAGAGCTGTTGGCTGCGGGTGATGAGTGACTGCGAGTGCTGGGCGTGGGGAAATGACTTTCTAGGATGCCCACAGATGTGCTGAAGGCCCTGCACTCTCCTGAATCACTTCAGGAAATGCACATCAGCTCCTTGAAATTCTTTGGACGGGCAGAGGGGGTTAGGGCAGGGGGATAGAGCCTGGCTGTGAGCTGTCAGTAATCCTGCTGTAACCTCCCTGCTCCTCCATCAGTCTGGGGCATGTGCACTTCCAGCTCTTCAAATATTTACTAAAAAGCAGTCACCTGCGTTAAGATTTCATCTTCCCAGCCAAAATTTTTATGGACTCATGATTAACTTTTAATCAATGATTAAATCTGCCCCTTAATGGGAGAAAGATTTTCGTGCTGAGTGTTCTTTCCTTTGGTTCTATATGCAAGGCTTTGCCAGATGAGGCTAATCCATCATGTTTGGTTTACTCTGTGATTCTGTTATTGTACAGATTGTTTATCATTTTGATGTTTTTGAATATGTTCTCCAGTATTGAAAACAATTGAGATTTTAGATGGGGCAGCTGAGAGGGAGAAAGGGAAATGTACCTTAGTACTAAATGAAAGACTGACCTGAATATAAAACTGACGTGGAGCTGTCAGAAGGAGAAGGCAGGAAGGAAAATTCACTCCAGTGGTGGCAAGAGGAGCTGGGAGCATTCTGATTTTTAAACTTAAGGAAGAGACTACATTTACATTCCCCAGAAAAATGCTTTTCAGTGGATGCTGTGAGTGGATTTGGCATGAGGAGCACACGCTGCCATGATTGCCGTCTTTACTCTCGCTCCCCTGGCACTTGAGTTCATCATCTGACACCACATTTTGGAAGGGCTCCAGAGGAGCTGTCGTGGGCAGTGGTGTCTGTGAGCTGCACATAATGTGAGGGCTTTGTGCACGATGCACTCAGAGCATGGCAGGAGGCAGAGCACACTGGGAGCTGTGCTGGAGCACTGGATAATCAACATCCCCTCGTTATGGGACAGGAGGGCACGCATTGGTACCCTGGCTAACGGGGCACAGCACCCTCTGGTAATTAAAGCAGGACACTTTGTGTCCTGTTCCTGAGGGCAGATCCATCGTGGCACCTCTGTGAAATGGGCACACGCTGCTTGAGCCCTAATCCAGCAGGAAAATGTGCAGCAGAGCTGTTCCTCCTGGGCACTCCAGCACTCCCCGGGAGGACGCTGGAGCGTGGGTAAAGCACGAGGCTGCACTAACCTGAAGTGACTGCTGTGCTTGCCTTCTGCATCTCCTGCTGCTGACAGCAGGGCTGCAGGGTCCCCTGTGTGAGTGAAGTCCAAGGAGGGATCTCCAGCGGGTTTGGAAAGGGGAATTGTGTTCCTGAGGCTTCATCCCTGGGCTGAAAGGTAACGGAGTGCAGCTTTCTAGGAATGGGAGCCCTGTGTGCTGGAACCTGCTGAGGGCCATCAGGCAGCCTGGGGGTTCCCATCCTTGTGTCCCTCTGTGTCCCCCAGCCCTGCCCAGTGTCCCCTGTGTGGGGCACAGGCCCCCATCGTGACCCCAGTGCCTGTTCCTCAGTGGAGCAGCAGGAACCCTGCACTGGCCCCCTTCGTGGGGCACCCTGGGGGTCTCCCATGCTGGCAGCTTGCACTGAACTTTGGTTTCTCTGTGACCTCTCCCCTCTGTCAAAGCCAATTGCAGTTTTCCAGCTCAGGAGGTACCGGGGAGGACGGGCAGGCGACAGCGGAGCTGAAAACGGTTCCTGGGTTTATTTGAGCTAATTGTTCTAAAGGCTGGGATTGAGTGGGAGCCAGGAGCTCATTAGTTCTAATCTGGCCTCCAACACTTGCCTTGCGTGGCCCTAGAGCTGTTGTTAGATTTCCTCTCTTAGATATTGCAAGAATAAGGCTGCAAAGAATATTAAATGCAAGAGATGGAGAAATCCTGCAGCATCTCGTGCCAGCAGCACTAGCACAGGATGATGATATACAGTGAGTGTTCCTCCTAGAGAGTGTCCCTTCCCTTCAGAGGGACTCGGTGACAGAGCTCCTGCTGATTTATGGAGCAGGATGGCTCTGCAGACTGTCTGTGCTGAGAATTGGAGCCGTGTTAGCAAGGTCCGAGCAGCCGTGTTTAAAGCAGGGCTCTTGCTCTAATTGTGTTAGCATGATTTCCCTGGGCAGGGAGGGAAGTGCAGAACCGTGTACTTTGAGAAGTAACAAAGGATAATTATAAAATAATCGCGTTTCATCCATCCTGAAACCCTCCTGCTGCCTGCGTTAGCCAGCAGGATAAAATACAAATAAAATACTTCCAGTGGAAAAGGGATGTTTCTGGCTCTCCTTCCATCTGAGCCTCATTTTTCTCTGGAGTTTTCTAGGAAGGACACGTTTTTATGTTGGAATTCAGCGCTGATGAACCCAAACAAGCCCTTGGCTGATTTCTGGTGCTGTTTTGGCTTTCCTGAAGGCCTTTCTCCAGCACCAAGACCGTGTCAGGATTGCTGAACCACCGTGGCTGGGTCTGATTATCTTATCTCTCAAAGGTTTGTGCTGCTGAGCCCAAACAACCAGAACACTGTTGTTGCTGGCTGTGGCTCTGCCCACCCTCACTGGTGGCTGCACAGCAAAATAATTCAAAAGGCTGATTTCAGCTCTGGCTGGCAGAGGACAAAGCCATAGGCAGCTCTCTTCTCTTGGTTCTTTCATTTCTGCCTTTCAAAGGCTCAAATCAAGTTCTGAGTTGAGTGTTAGGGTGGGATTTGGCGAGTGGAGGCTCGTTCCTTGGGCCTGAGCAGCTCTGTGGGTGCCACTTGTGCATGACGTGGGGTCTGTGAGCAAGGAGCTGCTCCTGCCTCTAATTTTGATGAACCTTTATGGCTGTTTTCTGTAGTTTATTACCCAGATCCCCAAGGCTGCCATTCCCTGCTTTTCTCTGTCAGCAGTCCGTTAGTCAGTGCTGGTGATGGCAGTGCTGGAGCAGTGCCAGGGCCCAGCCTTGATCCCTCTGGGGCTGGGAGGTCAGGCCAGGGAGAGCCAGGCCCCTCATCCTGCCAGCTGAACCCTGACATTGTTCTCACATCCACCCCTCCAACCTCATTTTCATCAGAGATCCGGTGTTTGTAACCTGCTTTGTAATGATTTATTGTGGGCTCTGGGACTCTTGGAAGGGTTTATCAGCCTCTGGCTAATAAATTTGCTACTGTGGTCCAAGAATTTCTTGCACCACTTTTGTAAGGTGACAGCTCTGACACGTGGCTCTAGGAAGGCTCTGAGTGAGTTTCTCGTGTCTTTTATTAGCTATTACCTGTGATAAATTATTGGACTAATCTCAGCTGACTACTTAATACTTGAGAATTGCTCTGTTCCTCTCTTCAGAAGTTCCAATCACGAGGAACTCTGGAAAAGGGAGAGGACAGCAGTGCTCCAATCTGTCCCTCTGAGCAAGGACTACAAAGACAGATGGGGAGCAGGTGAACCAGCAAGAAATCATTAAACTAAACTCATCCTCCCAGATCTCTCCTGCTAAGCCATCCAAGTGTGAGATGAAGCACAAGGTGTGCTGGCAGTCCTCAGCCTCCCTCTTTCTCCTGTTCCAGCATTTGGACTGAGACAAAACCAGTTTCCAAACAGATGTTTCTCCTGCTCCCTAAATCCGTTCTCACGGTGCAGAACAGGAGTGATGCAGGATGACTCTTGGCCTGTATTTACATTTTTTTCCTTCCCTTCTTCCTTTCCTTCAGCTCTCCCATCTGCTTCTGCTGTGTTTTGGGCCCCTGAGCCATCCATGTGTCAGAAGCAATTCACACCTTGTGGGTGCTGGGGGAGAGGCAGCTCAGCTGCTGGGCCTGCACTGGGGGAGTGAGGCTGGAAGGGGGAGAGGCAGAGCGAGCTGAGCATCTGGGGGAGCCTGGCACGGGGCTGTTCCTTTTGTCTCTGGCAGATGTGGTGGGTGTGAGGCTGATCCTCACTTCGTGTCTCTGAGAATGCTTTGGAAACGTTCCCTTGGCTGAACGGAAGCTCTTGGCTGTGCAGCCTGGGCTGCTGGGGTGGGAGCCCCCCAGAAGCTCTGGTGCACCCATCCTGATCGCCATCCCACCCAGGACAGGCAGGGAGCTCCTGCTCTGGGCAGGGAGGCTCTGCTGCCTCGGGATGGCAGATCTGCACACAGATCTGCTCTGGAGCCTGTTTAACTCTTCCCAGCCCACTGAGGATTCCTGCCATGCTCGGGAGTACAAAGCCTCCTCTCCTCTCCTCTCCTCTCCTCTCCTCTTTTTGTTTCTTTTCATTATTGATCTGTTTGACATTTGTCCTACAGGCTGTCAAACAGACAGGCCCAATACATTCTAGAGACTTTTTCTTTTTTTTTATTTTCCTTGATAAAG